GCACCGGGGCACCTGGGTACCAGGGCACCCGGGCACCCAAGCACCCGCGGGCACCTGGGCACCCGGGCGTGCCGCCGAAATCGCCGCCAAACCTCACCTAACCATATGAATCCGCTAGGACCCCATACAGAGGCAAGCTCTCATTGGGGAGTGAATCCGCTAGGGCCCCTACAGAAACAAACTCTGATTGAGGAATACTATGCGATGCGGGCGGGGGCAGCATCGTTATCTTGACGAAGGACCCAGTTGTCAATGCCGTCGTTGTGAATACTCGGTGGATCTCCCATGGGGCCGTGCCGCAATTGGTGGGGCGGCAACCGCTGGACACTGCCACTGGTGCCTTCGGTGGAGCTCCCTATGGGGCCACAAAGCGTGTGAGGGGTGTGCCCATATGGGCGTGACGCCCACATGCGAACGCTCGCCCTGGGGCTTTCGGAGGAGCTCCCTATGAAGCTACGAAGCGCGTGAATGGTGTCCCGAAGCGGGTGTGACGCCCACATGCGAGCGCTCCCTCTGGGGCCTTTGGAGGAGCTCCCTATGGGGCCCGACGCGTGTGAGGGGTGTGGCGCTACGGGCATGACGCCCACATGCGAGCGCTCTCTCGGGGACCTTCGGAGGAGCTCCTTATAGGGTCACGAAGCGCGTGGTGTGCGTGAGAAGGAGAGAGAGAGAGAGAGAGAGAGAGAGAAAGAGAGAGAGAAAGAGAGAGAGAAAGAGAGAGAGAGAGAGAGAGAGCGCAAGGAGGCATTCAGGAGACATGATACGGCACGCGAAGGTGGCAATCGGCAGCGAGACCGATGGCCAGAAAAGCAGGGAGACGAACAGACACGGCAGAAGCCCCGACGCGCTGACCCGTGCACGAGGAAACCAACACTGGACGACGACATCACCCAACCGAAACTCGCTGGTTTCGTTAAGTATCTGCAGCGGAATACTAGTGGGGAGCGGGGTACACCCGACTGGAGATCCATGTGGGACCGTTGGACAACTATCCACCACCGATCGGACATATTCGCGTGTGCTGTCAAAGGCGTTGGGTTGCTCAGCGCTGAGCAACTTCGGGCTTTCATCGCCCTCCCCCAGCGACAGGAGGGTCACGAAGAGGATCGGGCTCCGCATCGCACCAACCGGGTCAGGGCTGAACTCGACCGTCGCTGGTAGCCTTGCATGCTCAAGCGCAGCAGGGCACGGAGCTTGCATTCTCCACGATGGCCCTCCCTGTCCTCGGAGCCTCGGAGCCAGCCGATCACTATCGATGGCTTATGCGACTGTGCGTGCTCTGCGGCTCTAAGACCTTCGAAGGCTGTGCGGGCGTAAGTCGGGGAGACTGCCAGGTACACACCACCCATCTGTCCCAGGGTTTTCGCATCTACTATGCTGCGGATCTCATCCCTTCTGAACGGTGGCTGCCAAGGCAGAGGACGCCTGTCTGTGGGACCTGCCTTGGTGGTACAGGCACGTGCTCTGCTTGCAGGGGTTTTCGTTTGGGCCTGTCCTCCTCTTCGCACCAATTCCACTTGTGTCGTTTCGCAGCGTATCATCGTCGAGGAGGTAGCGCACACCAAGTGAAACCAGCTCTTCTATGAAGCCGCTCGGAGGACTGTGGTGAGAGAGTGTGGGGACTGTGGCATGGCAGCGAGGGCGGGGTGCAAGGGATACCAGGCCATCAGACAGATGCTAAGTGAAGTATGTTTCCTGGGCAGCGCACGCCCTTGCGCGTCATGTGTAACAGGAAGGAGGGTGACTGTCACTTCTGTCGTGGCCCACTTCGCTGTCGCGCATGACTTCCATATTTCGGCCGCTCAGTATCTCCCGGAGGAGGGGGAGCCAGGCCGACAGGACGCTCGAGGGCGACATCGTGCTGCAAACGCAGGCGCGAGCTACTGAGGCTACGCCTTGCCCCCACCCGTGCTTTGCAAAAGAGATGATTTGAGGGCTGCCGTTGCCCCTGATGTGCGGTGCTGCTGGCGGGAGTATTTCGTCGCTTCGCCCTGGTGTTGGTTCTCCTTCTCCCTCTCTCTTTCTGCGCGCCACTGCATGTCCTCGCTGGAGCTACCCCTTTTTGCGTAGTCGCGGCGTTGCAGTTCGCTGCTCTTCGCTCCTTCCCCACTCCGCGCGGTGACCGCCGGTGTTGTGGGCTTTCTTTTCGCGACCTCCAACTGCCTTGTGGCTTGTCCCACGAAATGGTTGGCGGAACTTGCCGCTTTTGTCTCTCGTCGCCAAAGGCGTAAGGACCTCTGGTGGAAGGCTAGCCCGAACCTGGGGGCTGTCTTCCTGGTACTCGGCCGTGTCCCTATCTGCATGACCCATTTTTTGCCTTATATCTGGAGCCATGCGCTCCACGCGCGTGTTGTAGACCTACGGCGGCCTTGCCGCCTTGGTGCCTGCGCCCCGGTACGTTGTATGGGCCGGCTCGGCCGCGGCCCGCTTCTTTTTTGTCGCGCTCCCCTCGCCTCGCCTTGGTGTAGCTTGCCGCCGCCTTTTTCTGCGCCATCCTGCCTGCTGTCGGTCAATACCTACTGCTATTCCGCCTTAGGCGGTGGCCTTTTGTCGCCTCGCCTGTTGTCCTTCCGGAGTGTCTCGGGGGCGCGGCCTGGCGGTTCCTTGCACTTCTCGTGGTGGCCGGGGCACTGGCTTTCTTGCGCTCCTGAGGGTGTGCGTGGCAATTTCTACGGACACTGCTTGTGGTCGGCGCCTTTTCCGTTGGCAGCTTGTCCAGCGGTGGACTAACCGCCTTGCTGCTGCTTGCGCCTTGGACTGGATGCTGGCTGGAATGGCCGCGGCTCATTTAAGTTTTTGCGTCTGCACTGCATCTGGGGTGCGCATCGCTCCTGGGGCTGCAGGTCGCATCTGGCTGGCCTCGACTGCGTGTTAACTCGAGTGCCGGCGGTTGGCGCAGCCCGGTGGCGGGTTCGCTTTCATGTTTTCTCCACATGATTGCCTCTCGTCGGTGTGGTGCGACCTTGAGGGTGACCCGTACACTTGCTGTATCGTCCAGGTGATTGCTTTTTGTTTTGGTCCACGTTCATGGTTGACGTTACGTTTGCTGCGGTGGGTTTGCCTTGAAAGGTGGCGCCCGCATTGCACGTTGGTCACGCACGCGCCGTCCAACACTCATGGATTTGCTTGTGCTGTCCACCACCAGTGTGCGCCACCGCGTGAAGCGTTGGCTGTCGCGGTCGCCCGCGGTTGGCTTGACTTTTTCTCTTCGCCTTCAGCCTCGCACGCGCTCTTGTCTTTGCGCTGCTTGCGCCTGCACGGCGTTCTGTCGTGTTCGTTGCTTGCCTGGCGGCGGCGCTTGTCTCGCCTGTGCCTGTCTCGCGCCGCCGCTTGCTGGCTGGCCTGGCAGCTCTACTTTTCTTTCAACTGGCGAATTCGCACCAGACTGCTGCCTACGCTGCAACTCAAGGCGTCGAGCTTCGCTCCGCGGGATGCTTGGCCGCTGCGCTTTGGCTTTGCAGTGCCTCATCTATTCACCATCACCACCACCAGTCTGCATGGCCGTGGCTGGACTTTTTCATCACGGCGCTTTCGACCAAATTCGTTCGCAATTGGCACCACCATTTGCCGACCGCGCCTGAGGTTCCTCCGCACCGCCGGCTTGAAAACATGTTTTTTTGTTTGTTTGTTTGTGTGTGTGTGCCGAAACGGGCGTGACGCCAACATGCGAACGCTCCCTCTGGGGCCTTCGGGGGAGCTCCTTTGGGGTCACAAGGCGCGTGAGGGGTGTGCCGCCACGGGCGTGACGCCCACATGCGAACGCTCCCTTTTGGGCCTTCGGAGGAGCTCCCTATGGGGTCACGAAGCGCGAGAGGGGTGTGCCAAAATGGTTGACATATGGAGGGGAGGAGCAGGCATGGGAGGACGGAGGAGGGGGAGGAGGAGAGGAAAGGAGGAGAGGGCGCGGGGCGCTGCCTCTTCAAATCGAGGACCAGACACCACGGGATGGTTGGGAACACCATCGTTGGATAGACAAAGACGGCATCAAGGGAGAGAGGATCGTATTGCTCATACTGGGTAATTGTTGGGGGGTGAGCTGCCCAAGCCTCCGACGTGCCCATCCCCGAGAGCGCCTCTTCGTCGCGGGTCGGTGCTCGTGGGCCCTGTGGTCCGCACGTGGACCTCGGACGCCGAACTGGCGAAACGAGCGCCCGTTATGGCTCGTTCGGCGTCGGCTGGAGATCTGGGAAGGGCGGGTAGAGGCCTCCCGAGTATGGTCCGAATCGATGGGGTCGGAGCATCGCGCCGCATCGGAGATGCATCGGCGGTGCGTCGGGGATGCGGCGCGATTCTCCAACCCGATCTACTGTGACCCCATCTAGGAAGCCTAGATCTGGGGAGCCTGGGGAAGCGAAGGGGAGGAGCGAGAAGCGAGGAGGAGCGAGGAGGAGCAACGAGGAGGCGGACGGAACACGTACGCAGCTGTACTTTCACAGTTGCGGCAGCGGGGCCCCCGAGACGGCCGCCGCTCGAGGCGGCCGGGCCTCTTCTGGCGCCGGAGCGCGCGCGGTCTTGCAGCGCGGGGCTGGCGCCGAGGGCAGCCTCACAACTACCGGGCCTGTGGGGCTCGCCTCCTCCTCCCCCCCCCACCGCGCCGAGGAGGAGGAGGAGGAGGAGGAGGAGGAGGAGGAGGAGGAGGAGGAGGAGGAGGAGGAGGAGGAGGAGGTCCCCTCCTCCGAAGACGTGCCCTGGGCCACTCCTCCCCCTCCCCCCTCCGAGCGGCGAACGTATCCGTATCCGTGCCCTCGCGGTCTGGACTCCCAAGGCGCGATCCCGCGGATGCGCGGTCGTGCGGGTGACGTTCCGCGGGGCATCCGCGACAAGAATGCCCCGTCTCCGCGGGGACGCGGCCAGGAACCCGACTGGCGAGGCTGCGGACACGGACATGTCCTTCGCCCCCTGGCCCCTCCCCCCTTCTCGGCCCCGCCTTGAGGCAAAGGGGCAAGCTGAGCCTCACAGTCCCCGCGGTTGCAGCTTCCCTGAATGTTTGGCCTGGGTCATCAGGCCACGATCGACAAGATCCCGACAGAGACGCGGTCCACCTTGGGCTCGCTGCCCCATCCGAATCCCACTTCGGTGACAATGGAAAGCTGGTCCTCCTGGGGAGCACCTGTTCAACCTTGGACTACTTGGTCGTACTGGGTTCACCCTGGGTCCACCCTCTCAAAGAGCATATAGGCGTGGGGGACACAGCTGTATAGTTGGAGCTTGGAAGTGCGAAGCTCTTCAGAGGCTGGGGAGGGGGGGGGGCGGTGGGCCTGTCAATCGCTATGGGTGGACGAGGCGAGTGGGCGGCGCCACACCATCTTGGCGCACAACGTCCCTGAGAAGCCTCTGCAAATCTTCTGGAGACACCTGGAGGTCCCCGAGCGGCCTCCACAGGCGTCCTGGAAGTCCTAGAGCCTAGAGGGCCTCTGGGCAGGGGTCGTCTTGCGGGGGAGGCCCCTGCCATGGCTTGGCGGCGCCATGGCGTCCTCCACGCATCTCCGCAATCCTCTTGCGGAGCCTTCCTTTCAGGCCCCTGGATGCTCCATGGTGTCCAGGGAGGCTCTCCGAAGCCGGGGGGAAGTCAGACTTTTTGCGAACGGGCAGGACCTTGGGCAACGCTGGGACGCGGCGCCGCGCCAGCTTGTCCTCCGCGCACGTCCCGCTCTCTTCGTCGCTGGAGGCGCTGCTCCAGGAGCCTGGTGTGGCACCGAGGACGCCGTAGTGCTCCAGGATCGCTCTCTCCTAGGGGAGCCCCAGAAGAGAGCCTGCAGCACCTATCTAACTATCGGAGGGAAGGGAGCGAGGGGAAGGTAATCATGCGCAAATGCTCCACTGATGCATCGTACCACCAAGCAGTGTGGGCGCCTCCAGCGATGAACAATTCGTGTCCAACTGCTTCTCCAACAAATGCTGCGCACGCGTATGATGCAAATCCATACAACGCCACCTGCAATCTACAATCCGCTCTGTGTTGCCACGTCGTTCTGGACCGCGACGGCCAGTGTTATATAATCATCCGCAATCTTCTGGAGTCCAATGAGGGAGAGCGTGATGTGTACTCTCCTGCAGAGTAGCTAACAACGCGCAGGACGCATACTCTGTATATGCCAACACTCCGCCTAACGTGAGTTGTAAAATCAAGCAACCCAACGCAATGCAATATCGGCGCCACCCGTGTTCCCATTTGGGTCGATGCCTGCGCCCGGCTTGCGATTTCACGCGGTCTCACCGTTCTGCTGAGCCACAACGCAATGTGGGTGCACGACGCGGTGTCTTCTACGTGTACCCTTTACGCTATGAAGACTGCCGTGTAGCTATGACTTCGGCATTCTTAAGTAGCAAACAGCGCATGGTGTGCGCTGCATGCGCCGTAATTCCGCAGGCCTGCGCCATTTGGAGCCTCGGAGAGCAATTAGGGGCATATCCTGGAAAGCTCCTGACCAGATGTGGGAAGCATTGGGCGACCTTCGGTGGACGCTCTGGCAAATCGCTGCTCCCGCGAGACCATCTCGACGGCACTTCGGCGACACCAGAGGCCGCTGCAGGATTTTGAACGCCATCATCTGAGAACCTTCGAGACCATCAGGACGCCAGCGCGGGGCCACACACGACCGATACAATAGCGCTCTCCGTGCCAGGGGGCGCAGACGTTGCCAGGCCGCGAGGCGTCCTGGACGAATGTAACAGATTCCTCGTCATCATGTCGTCGTGGTTCTCTCCCTTCTCATCCACTCCTCCGCCTCATCCTCCTCCTGCCACAAGAGTAAGCTTGCGAACGGGCAGGACCTGGAGCAACGCTGGGGCGCGGCGCCGCGCCAAGTTGTCCTCCGCGCACGTCCCGCTCGCCTGGTCGCTAGTGGCGCTGCTCCAGGAGCCCGGTGTGGCACCGAGGACGCCGTAGTGCTCCAGGATCGCCCTCTCCTAGGGGAGCCCCAGAAGAGAGCCTGCACCTATCCCCCTAGCGGAGGGAAGGGGGTGGGGGAAAGGGGCAGTCAGGCTCCCTACAAGCCGCAAGCCATCTCGCTCACTCCCACCCGCCCTCCCAACACATGAGCAGCATCCGAGTCTCAGTGTGGGCAGGGTCCGCCATTGACAACTATCGAGAACCAATGCAGATGCCAGCCATTTGCGCGACGCCCGCAAGGTGCGCCGCGCATTCCAGGCAACCCTATCATCCCTGCCACATAACAATCCGGTGCATCCGCGCAGCGCCCGCGTATGGTCCAAGATTCTGCCGCAACGTGCGATTTGCATTTGTTTTTGACAGGGATGCTACTGAGGATCGCGCGCACCAGGCAATATGCGCCCCCGCCACCCTTCCAAAACACAATCTAAAGTGATCGTGGGGCGCCCGAAAATGATGCAATATTTGCCGCAACATTGTTACCTAACAGCTTGTTCTGATAGGTTTCTAGTGGGGTCAAAAGAGAGCAGCAGATGACTCCACAGGGGGGTCTGGGTGGGTGCCGGACAGGGTGCCGCAGAAGTCGTTTTAAGCCAACAGTCAAACACTTCGTGCTCTTCGACCTCCCAGAACTCCATTCCCGGGCCACATTCTGAATGCCCGGAGCCAACTGTAAGCCACTTCGTGGTCTTCGATTTCCCAGAACTCCATTCCCGGGCCACATTTTGAATGCCCGGAGCCAACTGTAGGCCACTTCGTGGTCTTCGAGTCCCCAGAACTCCATTCCCGGGCCACATTTTGAATGCCCGGAGCCAACTGTAGGCCACTTCGTGCCTTCGGAACTCCATGGGCTCATTTTGAATGCCCGGAGCCAACTGTAGGCCACTTCGTGGTCTTCGAGTTCCCAGAACTCCATTCCCGGGCCACATTTTGGATGCCCGGAGCCAACTGTAGGCCACTTCGTGGTCTTCGAGTTCCCAGAACTCCATTCCTGGGCATGATTTTGAATGCCCGGAGCCCTGAGGCCACTTCGTGTTCTTCGAGTTCCCAGAACTCCATTCCCGGGCCACATTTTGAATGCTGAGGCAGGCTGAGGCTGAGGCTGAGGCAGGCTGATGCTGAGGCAGGCTGAGGCTGAGGCTGAGGCTGATGCAGGCTGAGGCTGAGGCAGCTGAGGCTGAGGCCGAGGCTGAAGGCAGACTGAGGCTGAGGCTGAAGCAGGCTGAGGCTGAGGCTGAGGCAGGCTGAGGCTGAGGCAGGCTGAGGCTGAGGCTGAGGCAGGCTGAGGCTGAGGCTGTGTCTGTGACTGCCGTTGCCACTGCGACTGTCATCGCGAATGCGACTACGACTGCGAGAACAGCAAAATTCTACAACTGGATTCTCATCTGAATCTTAAGGGGAATGCTTCCAGATATGCTCCTACACATCGCTGTTAGGTTGCTTTGCCGGGATAATCATCTGAATCTTAAGGGGAATGCTTTCAGATATGCTTCTACACATCGCTGTTAGGGTGCTTTGCCGGGATAATTTTTGACAAAACTGGCGTGTGTGTGGGGGGGGCCGCACTGGCCCTCCCTTGTGATAGATCGGTGGAGTGGAGGAGGGGGTATATAGCAAGCCGCCGACCCCCGCTCGCCCGGAGTGAAGAGGCGTGGGAGTCATTTGGCTGTCCCTCTCCCCCTTTCCCCCTCCCCTGGGGTCCAAAATGCCATTCCATTCTAGGGGGGAGGGGGTGGCGGGGGGGGGGAGACAAGCTCGTCAACGCAACCCCGAGGCCTCCGGAACATCCGAAAAGCCCCAAGGCAGCCCAACATGGCCCAGACAGAGCGCCAAGACAGTCGAAGAGAGCGTCATGACGGCCCAGGGTAGCCCCACGACGATCCAAGATGGCTTCAAGATGGCCCACGAGCCCCCAAGACATCCCCAAAGCGCCTCCAGAGGATCGCCGAGAGGGCCCCAATATGCCCAAATCAACGCCTTCCTTGGGGAAAAAAACGTAAGTTTTTAGCAGTTTCGCAATTTATGCTTTGACAGCGAGCACGACGGTCCAGGTGGTCTCCAAGATCGTCCCAAGATGACCCAAGAAGGCCCCAAGACGGCCCAAGAGGCCCAAAGACAGCCGCAGGGCCCCCCAAGACGGCCCAAGACAGTCCCTGGAGGGCCTTGAGAGGGCTCCAGGAAAGCCCAAGAAGGGGAATACGAACTGAGATTTCGAACCTTTCCCACCGAGATGGACCTTCGAGATGGCCCGTCGAGCCCCCCAGAGGCCATCGAGGGCCCTCCAAGAGGCCCCAAGAGGTCTCCAAGACGCACCCAGGAAGCCCCCCAGAGGCTACCACGAGGCCCGCGAAAGCCTCCCATGTGCCCCCAAGATATTCCAAGAGGCACCAGAGAGGCATCCCAAGAGACCCTCAGATTCATCCAGGAGGCTTCTGACCCAAGACCTAACTTCCACGATCGCCTCAAACACTCGCTCCTTGTGCGGGTCGGCGGAATGGCGTAGCCGCTTGAATACAAGGAGCAATGGCTGATCGTGCGCAAGTGCTCTATTGATGCATCGTGCCACCGAGCAGCGTGGGCGCCTCTCTCGAAGCAGTGCCCCCGTGAGTGCTGCACAGGCGTGAACTGTAAATCCGTCCCATGCGGCGCGCAACGTGTTGTACCCCTATCCCCTTGGCGGAGCGGGGGAAGCGAGAGCAGAAGGAGGGAGAGGCCAGGGGGGGGGGCAGGGGAGACGAAGAAGCGGGGGAGGGGGGAGGACGGGAGAAAAGAGGAGAGGAAGAAACAGAAGAAAATAATGATACGGACGATGATGAGTAGGAGAAGAAGGAAGGGACAGGATGAGATGAATGAGAAGGGAGGAGGACGATGGCAAGGAGGATAATGACACGAGCCAGAGGAGCAGCAGCAGCAGGGTGAGGATTCTGGAGGAGGGTGGCGCAAGCAGGAGCAGGATGAGGACAACGGCGAAAGGAGAAATAGGAATAGGAATAGGAATAGGAGGGGGAGGAGGAGGAGGAGGAGGAGGAGGAGGAGGAGGAGAAAGAGGAGGAGGAGGAACGTGATGATGATGAGGATGATGATGATGATGATGAGGAGGAGGAGGAGGAGGAGGAGGAGGAGGAGGAGTCGTTAGAGGGGGCGGAGTGGGAGCCGCATGGCATGAGTGTCGGGGTACCACGTGTTCCCGCTCTGATGGCGTGGGCTCTGATTTCTGCCACCTGTCACCGGAAGAACTGTTCATCCTTGACCGATCTCGGCCGCTGGGGATCTCCAGAGGCTGCTGCTGTCGGAGCAAGGCGACCTGAGACAACAACAACTCAAAATCCTTCCCCGGACTCCTTCCAGGGTCCAACTGCACTGACTTTTCGAGCTGCGTCCAACCGTGGCGGCGGGTGCCCCCCGCGAAGGCCAAATACCGCTGCCTCAACTCGCCCTCCTGTAACGCTGGCCGCCAACCGCGAACGCTACAGAGCGGTGCGGCACCAGCGTATCCCGGGTGCCCGCTTTTAGGGAAACAAAAAATAACATAAACATAAAAACTCGGAGGTCCGCGCGGATTTCTCGGAACGGCGCTGGACCCCCCTCCCTGGCGCGCAGAGCGCGCCAGGGGCGGCGCCAGAGACGCCGCCAGGGGGGCCCAGCGCCGATCCGAGAAATCCGCGCGGACCTCCGAGTTGTTATGTTTATGCCACTTTTTGTTTCCCTAGCTTTGGCCCTGTCTCCGGCGTCGTGGCGCGGCTGGTGCAGCAGGGGCCTCCGTAGCCGGCCCCGGCGAGTCCCTGCGCAGCGGCCGGTGCAGGCTCCCTCCGCGACGGAGCCGCGGTCCAGGTGCCTGTGCCAGAGGCTCCAAAGCGGGGGGGGCCCTGACATCTGGGCGTCGCGCACAAGACGCGACGATACTTCTTGGTCCACTTCGGGTCCCAGGACCCTCGCGGCTCTATCCGACATTGCTGCTCTCCAAGAAGGCATGGGGCCCTTTGCTCGGGCCACTGTTTTTACACGACGTGGTGGCTTTTCACTGCAGACTGGGATGGGGGGGGGAATTACTTAATCTGGGGAGCCACAGCCAATCAACAATCGCTCCAATTTGCAAGATATCTCAAAAACAAACAAGCGCCAGTACTCCGCAAGGCTTTTCGCGTAAATTTGGGGTCGCAGGTCACATAATGGGGAGGAGGAGCGGAAGAAAGATGGAGCAGTAGCAAGAAAGGAAAGATGCCGGTGATGATGGTGATGACGATGTCGTGACTAACTGTGCTGAGAATGCGGACCCACCGACAGCACGTATATGTTGGTAAGACTTCAAAGTCAAACATTTCAAACTGATCAAGGCATGTCGGATCCAAGCGTCCTCGTGCGACTTCCAGTCGCGCCTGCTTCTAGCCACTTCCATCCAATCATGGTTCACCGTATTGAGAACATTAAGCAACTTGGCCTTCCAATTCCACTGGCTGAATCTTGAAAGCCCTTGCTGGTCCGAAACTTTGCGGAAGCTCAGACGAGCAACGCGCCGATAGTTCCACTGCAACACCTTTGATAGGAGGCAGCATCGGTCACACTCCATCTGCCGAACTGCGTGGCCCGCGTACCTATATGTACGTCTGGCGGCAGCAGCGTCTTGGCCTGGGATGCTCAAAACGTCTTTCAGACTGCGGAACTCCTTGTTCTGGCGCATGGAATACTGTTAATCTGACTCAGAAACCACACTGTGCAATCTAGCATGCTCACGGCAAATGTCGTTCTGCGTTGAGCGCAAACGGGGGGCACTACGATAAGTGAAAATCCACACTCCAGCAAACCATGCATCGACGCTATGACAGATTCTTCGAATCAATTCGACACGTTGCTTCCGAGAACTGCCCTTGCAATTCAACTCGTCGCCGACATCAACAACAAATGATGCTATGGATCCTGGCCTATCTCCCCACCCCTGCTAAAATGCATAATCGTTGTTCGGGGGGCATTCGACTTGCTTTCGCTTCGTCAACGTACTTTGTGCGTGGGTGGGGTTGGCCAGGGCCAATGTGTACATGTATATACATTCGCGAAGTGCTTCAGCGGCCCCCCTCCCAAGCCAGTGATACTGCTGGCGTGGCGGGTGTGGGAGGGGGACAACATGCAAAACCAAATCCTGGGGAAGGACCCAGCGATATGCAGTTGTGGGTACCGTCGTTGTGATTATTGCCTTCGGCGCTATGCGAACCCTGGTTTTTGGCCCTAAGCTGGAGCTCCCTATGGGCGCGAAGCGCGTGATTGGGTGTGCCGACGTGGGGCACCGACGCCATTCGAACCCTTGCATCCGGGCCTTAGCTGAAGCTCCCCTTGTGGACACAGAGCGTGTGAATGGTGTGCCGGCATGGGGTACCGACGCCATAAGAACCCTGAACCTTAGCTGGAGCCCCTATGGGGCCACGACGTGTGTAAGGAATGTGCCGAAACGAAGCACCGACGTCATGCGGAGTCTGGCAGCTGGCCCTACGCTGGAACTTCATATGGGTCCACGAAATGTGTGAAGGGTGTGTGCAGACATGAAGCACCGTCACCGTGCCGAACCCTGGCATCTGGGCCTTAGCTGGAGCTCCCTGTGTGGCCACAAACGTGCGTGGGGTGTGCCGGAATGGGGCACCGACGCTATGCGAACCCTGGCATCTGGGGGACCCCTTCGTGAGGAATCCGCAGTGGGGACGCCTATAATATACAGGACCCCTTTGGTACGATTCCTGTAACGGTTCATTACGCGTGTTTCCTGTAGCAAGGGTTCCTTAGCAAGGGTGCCTTTGGTGAGGGCTTTTCAATAATGATGTGTTGAATGCTGCCTTTTTGGTGAGGGTGCCTGTAGTAAGGGCCCCCTCGGTAAGGACCCCCGTAGTAGGGAGTCCTTGCTGCATCCTTTAGCAAATATGTGTTTTGAAAGGAGGCCTTCCGTAAAGGACCCAGCAAGTTAGTAAGGCGTCCGTGAGGAAGAGGAAATGCCAGAGGGGGCCTGGCTGCTCTGTCACACAGCCCACAACGCAGAGGGGGGAAGTGGCAGCAGGACGTGGTTGTTATCTCTTACTCTTTGTACATCTCTCCCTCTCTCTCTCTCTCTCCTCCCCCTTCCGCATTCACGCAACGCCCAGCCAACGACACCCCTATCGGACGCCATGCGAACGCCTCGGGTCATTGCTGGAGATCCTTAATAAAGATGCTTGTGATAAGAGACCTTTCGTAAACATTCCGTTTAGTGAAGAAGACCTCAACAACGATTTCTCTTCAGAAGCATTCGTTAGCAAGGACGCATGTGTCCAACAACCCTCGGTAGCCCCTCTGGCTCAAGCCATCTCCCAGCGGGGGGCCTCCTCCCTCCAGAGTCTGGGCTCGAGGTTGGCCAGCGTGGCCTGGGCGGCGCGGCCGGGCCGCGCGCCGCGGCTGCCGCCGCCGCCTCGTCGTCATATCTGGCCTCTGCGGCGCCGCGCCGCCCCTGTTGGGCGCTGCCCTGCGGCGGCAGCAGTGCCTCGCTGCCGGGCGGCTCCTCCGGGGTTGGCCGGGCCTGCCGCTCTCGACGGCGCCTGCCGATGGCAGCGTCCCAGCGCGTGTCAAAGAACCGCGCTGGCGTGCGGGCACTTCAGTGCGGGTTCGGGCGGGCGCGGTATCATGATGATGTCGGAAACGGCGGCAACGATAATGACAGTAACGATGGTGGTGGCGATGGTGACGATGACGACGGCCAGGTCAATGACGGCACCGATGCTGGTAACGACCATGACGATGATGATCTCCATGGGTCAATGGTGAAAAATGCTCGAGTCATGATGGCGGCAATGGCGGTGATTGTCGATGGTGATGACGCGATGCAGCCGCTCTGATGAGGGTGATGGTGAGGACATGTGCGCGCGCGCGTAAATCCAAGAACCCTGGCAAACTGTCTTATACAACACATATGATTATATGTCAGACGTTTTTGAAGAGCTCTATTTTGAAGTGCTTCGAAAACCAATGATTTCGACGCGCTTGCGTGGTGGCGCGCGCGTGTGGCCCGCAATACGTATAGAATGGTTTCAGCCAATGCGCGCGGGCATATCGTTTGCAAGATATGCGATGGCGCACAGTGCGGCCACGAGGCGGCCCGGGGCGGCAACTTGGCGAAACCTCGTCGGACCCATCCAGCGCACGAGGTGGCCACAAGGCGGCCACGGGCGGCAAGGTGGCGAAACCTCGCCGGACCCACCCAACGCACGAGACGGCCACGAGGCAGCCACGGGCGGCAGCGTGGCGAAACCTCGCCGGAGCGATCCAGCGCACGAGGCGGCCATGAGGCGGTTACCGGCGGCAGTGCAGCGAAGCGTCGGCGGACCCACCCAGCACACGAGGCGGCCACGTCGAAAATCCTCGCTGGACCCACCCAATTCCTTAGTGACAGAAATGCGAATCCCTAAGTGCAAGCACAGTTTGGGAAGTGCGAGATGAGAGGATGAATCGGAAGATGAGGATCAGGACGTGGGGGGTATGAGTACGGTGATGCTTCGGAGAAGGGAACGATCATGAGAAGGATGAGACGAGGATGAGAGGCAGGGGGCGGACGAGGAGGACAATGAGAAGGAAGGCTGGGGAGAGAAGGACGATGAGGACAATGAGACGGCCGAGAAGGATGTGGAGAGGGACGGGGAACACTCGCGGGATGATATCGAATCAAGCCGCACGTATGACCACACTCACGATTGGACATTTGTGGCACTTTCAATGTATAGATAGGGGACTGCCTGCAAATTTCTTAACTGCTTCTTAATGCACCCCGTCGCCTCGCGGGGGAGTCGGCAACTAACGAGCTGGCCAAACTTGGTCCGAAGATACTATCGCTTCGCGCACGGCTCCGCAGATACATGCAGGAAACCGGCCATACTACCCGCGGAGTAGAACGAGCACGGCGGCACAAATTCGCACGACTATTACGCATTTTCTGACCGTGCCCGCGCGGGGCGACATCTACTGACACTGCCGCACCCGTATCAATTCACTGCCAATGCCCGTGCGACGAAAAACAACAACACCTTGTCAAAACGCCACTCTTTCCGACCTGGTCCCCACGCAAGGAGCAACTACAAGAATCTGTGCAAACTACATCTTCCCATGCAATGCCCAGACTGGGAAAACAACGCACCCTGTCGTAACGCCGACCTCCCCCATGCCGTGCCAATAATCAATACGCATTCAATCGTAACACTACTCTCCCGCACCACCCGCTGGCATCGCATCGCCCCCAGAATATCTCACGATGGTGCATGGCACAAGCGGGGAGGAGGAGGAGGAGGAGGAGGAGGAGGAGGAGGAGGAGGAGGAGGAGGAGGAGGAGGAGGAGGAGGAGGAAAAGGAGGAGGAAAAGGATGAGGAGGATGAGCAGGATGATGATGATGATGAGGAGGAGGAGGTGGAGGAGGAGCGATGGGAAGAATGAGAGGAAGGAGGATGAGGATGAGGATGAGGATGAGGATGATGAAGAGGAGGAGGAGGAAGATGGGGAGCACAACGGGTGAGGAGGATGAGGAGTGCGAGACTTTTCTTGTGCAGTCCCTCATGCCCGAGCCCGTGGCCTGGGTCGGCGTCGAACACCCCGTACATTTCCAGCAGGGCCAACGCCGATGGCCAGGACGAGTCGCGTCGGACCGGCGAGGAGGGTGAGGAACCACTAAAAGAAAGGGGAGGAAGGGAGAAGAAGGAGGATGACTGAGGTGGAGGAGCTGGAGGACAAAGGAGGGGACGAGGAAGAGAAGGAGCAGGATGAGAAGGACGAGCAGGGTAAGGAGGAGGACGACAAATCTCGGAGGACCGGCAGGGATGCTGGAGTCGCAGGCGCGGGGGCAGCAGCCTTGGCCTGCGCACCCTTCGAGACGCCGCTTGTCTTTCCCGCCGGGAGGGAGAACCACACAAGGGCCTCAGGCATCAAGACCCAGCCCAGTATCATGGAGAACGTCATCACGAGCAGCTGAACCACCTCGGGCACCGTCGGCATAGACGAAGAAACCCAATCGGGGACCTGCTTGATGCCTGCGCACAGGAAGTCGGAAGACATATGCACGACGGGGATCATCGGCACGAACCCCGCAATCTCGATTGCTTGATATGTAAGAAGTGAATAAATCAGTCCTAGGACAAGTGAAGCTGAATGGATTGTCGAAACCCGACTCACAAGACGCCTGTTTTCGTGGGCATCGCCGACACGGTCTGAGCCAAGTGGAACATTACCGATGCGGCTCAACTTCCCTCCTGCTACTGCTGTTCCTGCTACCGCTGCTAATGTTCCCCCTCCTCCTATCCCCGTCCGCCTCCTCCTCTTTTATCAACCCCTCTGCGTTCCTAGCATTTCCGGTGCCTCCGCGCTAGTCCAGTCCCCCCTCTGCTGCCAACTGGCTGGGCTCGCAGCGCCAAGGCTCACAACTTCGGAGAACGTGCCTCAGCGTCCAGGCCGCTCAAGCTTGACCCAATACCCCCATGAGGACGCCACCAAACAGCTGCGAAGGCCCAGAATAAGTCCAAAAACGCCCCAGAAAGCCTAACGGGCCCAAGATGGCCTCAACGCGGCCCCTCGTCGGTCCACGATCCACGAGAACACAATATCCTCCGCTTCTCGGCAAAACCCAGGCCCGTCTGAATGTGGTGCCGCGAAGCGCTGTGGATATTCTACTCCTTGATATCTAGATCCGATTAACTCATTCTTTGTTTAACTGCGGAACGTCCGCACGGGACAAAAGCTTGTCACCCTCGGCATAACTGAGCTAACCCTTCTGACTCCTCTAGCCCATCTAACCGTTCTAAAGACTTTCCACCTGGCCATATATCTGGACACGGGACAACCACGGGACAACCACGGGGCACCCCCACGGGACAGCAGCCTGACATCCACGGACCGCACGGGTCACACCAGCGGGACAACCGCGCAAGACAACGATGAGACGACCACAGGACAACCGCAGAACCACCCCTGGGAGCATTGCGGCGGGCGCGCAAGGGGGAGGGCAATAGGACAGACCACAAGGCAAACGCAAGGCAACCGCAAAACCACTCCAGGAACACCTCGCCGGGAATCTCCGCCTCGCCTGCACGCACGACACGAACCGAAACCGACTTCCCGGTGCTCCGTTTCACTTTGATATCTTCCCGACCTCGGACCGAATGTAGCCCCCTTCTGCCAAAGGCGGGTTACATGTGTCCGGACTCATCGGACGGGCTCTCGGCCGAGCCAAGGCGGAACTGGATCGCCAGAAGCCGACAAAAATCGGCTGACACATAGAATCGGCCTGGCGCCGGTTCGGGCGAAATTGAAATCGGACGTGCATCTCGGAATGCCTGCACCGAGTCGGATCGAGTCGTATTCCTGGGAGCTCGTTTCGAATCGGCCCGGTGGAGTAGGAAAGCGCCCTCTTCTGGGGCCATGGTGAGAGATCTACCACATGTTTGTTACCCCCTTGTGTGTGAGACTAGTGGGACAACACTACCACGTGTCATCGTGTCCTGGGCGCGTGGGAGGGCATGTTGCTATCACATGCTTACCTCGTCCTGGGTCCTAGGGAAGAGACTACTAGCTACATGTGATCCAAGTCGTGGTCACGGGGAAGAGAGCTGCCACAGGTTACCCCCATCTTGGGCTCAGCTCACGAAAACTGCAACGTCTTGACACATCCTGGGCCAATGGAAATGATTTCGCATGTTTCACCCCTGGGGCCTTACGATTCCAGGGGTGGTTGTCACATGCTATCCCTTCTCAACCCGATGTTCTAACAAAGCGCACTCACATGCGTTTCCCGTGTTTACAGTGCCCAGTAGGCCAGTGTAGCATGGTGCCCTGGCCTGGCATGATTTGCGGATGATGACGCTCTCGTCGGCCATGGTGTGCTGTGCTGCTTTGCTGTGCTATGTAATGCGATGCTTTGCAGCGAAGGTGGGAAAGCGCTCGACCCACGCTGGGCCACACGCTGTGAGATATTCAGGCGGTGCATTGCCCGTCTTTTCCCCACTTCGGCTTGCCTGGGAAGCTCTTACTCGGAGGAGGAGGAGGAGGAGGAGGAGGAGGAGGAGGAGGAGGAGAAAGAGGGGGGGGAGAGGGAGGAGGAGGAGGAGAGGGGCGACGAGGAGGAGGAGGAGGAGGGGGAGGAGGAGGAGGAGGAGCCCCGCTCGGAGAAGAATGGTGCCTCGGGGGGGCACGTCGCCCGTTCCCCGGAGATTCCTCGGGTTCTCTGGGTTCCTCGGGTTCCCGCCCCCGATGCCTCGTATTGTTACGTTGCCCGTTCCTCGGAGGCTCCTCGGGTTCCTCTCAAGTTCCTTAACGGCGACCCGTGCCGGCTCACGTATTAATTCGCCTGCAGCTCCATTCCCCAATCAGGCTTGCCTAAGGAGTTCTTACTTGGTTGAAGATTGGTGTCCGAGCATTGCCAAACAATGCCAAACACTGCGCCCATGCAATAAGAAACTTTCCCCCAATTGGGGTCGCGCTGGGTTCATTGTCAGATTTATGCTGCTGTCTGTTGCTGTGCAGCGCAATCAAGTCCAACGCAAATTAATTGCTTTGCCTTGAACTGCAATGCTTCGCTTTACTTCTTCAACGGCTTCAACTGATTTGCTTGTATTCGCAACGCAATTCAATCATCGTATTGTTCCCCACATGGGCTTTGCCGTGGGGGCCAAACTTGTGTTTGAAGAACGGGAGGATGCGAGGCGGGATCGTCGCCGGATTCCCCGGGGTTCCTTGGTCTTACTTCTTTACAACAGGGATCCCCAAGGGTCCTTGGTATTGTTTCCTTACAAGGCCTTGTCTGGATTCACTTGGTTGCTTGGTTTTGCTTCCTTGTTTCTGTGGTTCCTTGATATTGTCTCCTCGGTTTCTTGGTCTTGGTTTCTTGGGTTCTTCGTCTCGGTTCTTTGGTTCCTTGTTCTCAGTTCCTTGGTTCCTTGGACTTAGTTCCTTGACCTCTTGGTCTTGGTTCCTTGACGCCTTGGTCTTCGTTACTTGGTTCGTTTGTCTTGGTTCCTTGATCTTGGTTCCTGGCTGCCTCGCCACATAATGCCATGCAATGCTACGCAATGCCAGGAAAGGCCAGGCAATCCCAGGCAATGTGCCACAAAGCCTAGCAATGCCACGTAATATGCCAAGCAATACCGAACAATACCGAACTTTCTCCTAATTGGGGTCGCGCCGGTTGTTGTATCTTTTCGTTGCAAGGCGTTGAATCGATTGCTATACGCCGCGTTATTTTCGTTATTCATGGTCATGGTTCCAATTGAAACTGCGACGTACTCATTGCCTTGCATTGTCTTATTTGCGTGGCAATTGCATTAGATGATGTCCAGCAGCACGACCCCATCGACTTCAATTGAAATTGCAAAACATAGAATGTGTAAATGCATTGCGTTGCATCGGATATGTGCCATGACTTGTTTGCGATGCAATGCCAGCCACTGCAACGCGGTGCAAGGAATACAATGAAAACAAGACAACAAATGGCAATGTAAATAATCGCAATAACGAGACCGGCGCGATCGCAACTAGGGCAATGCTTCCAAATAAAGTAAGGAAGGCATGACTTTGCAGTGCCTTGGATTGCTTGCATTGCGTTGCTTTGCTTGGCGTGGCATTGCCTGGCACTGCTCGGCACTGCTTGGCATTGCTTGGCATCGCTTAGCATTACTTGGCATCGTTTGGCATTGCTTGACACTGTTTTGCGTTGAATTGTTCGGCACTGCTGGCCGTGCTCAGACCAAGGAACCCTGGCAAAGCCTAAAGTACTAAGACCAAGGAACCAAGATCAGGGTAAGGAGCCAAGGAACTAAGACCAAGAAACCAATGAACCAAGATCAAAGCAACTAACCCTTGGGGAACCAAAACCAAAGAACCCGGGCAATACCTTGTAAGGGAACAAGACCAGGCAATCCAGAGGACCTCCCTCGGAAAGGAACAAGACCAAAGACCCTCGAGGAACCTTGGCGCGACAGGGTCAGGCACTCGCGGGCCTCTTCGCACACACAAATGCGCGCCCCCCAGGCAAAGACCAATTGAGGAGAAATGAGCCCTGGCCAAGGAGACCTGGGGAACCCGAGGAGGCCGGGGCTGGGGAACCTGAGGAGGCACTAGGACATG